CATTGCTGTGCACAGCCCAGCATACTGTGATTAACAGAGCTCACGAGTAGAAGATTAATTTTATTGACAGAAGCTCTTTAAAAGTTGTGGATTTGATGACTTTTCTATGTGAAGATACATTTTCACTTAAGTTGAGGATAAAGGATGTCATAATATTACTGCTAATGGACAAACTGCATTGGAAACAATGACAAGGGTAAGTGTTGATTCCTACATCTATGCAGGAAAACTGCATGCATCAGTACAGGTTAGGGGCTGACCTCCTGGGACAGAGCTCTGCAGAGAAGGACCTGGATGTCCTGGTGGACAACAGATTGACATGAGCCAGCAGTGTGCCCCTGTGGTTGAGAAGGCCAATGGTATACATTATGAAGGGTGTTGCCAGCAGGTTGAGGGAGGTTATCCCTTCTGTCTACTCCTCCATGTTCCCTAGTTGGAGGAAGACAGAGAACTTCCAGGGAGAGTACAGCAGAAGGCTTTGAAGATGATTAAGGGTTGGGTTGGACTTGATGATCTCTGGAGGTCTCTTCCAACCCCTACAATTCTGTGAAGGGCCTGCAGCATCTCTCTTACGAGGAAAGGCTGAGAGGTCTGGGACTGTTCAGCCTAGAGAAGACTGAGAGGAGACTTATAAATATCTAAAGGGCAGGTGTTAAGTGGATGTGGCCACACTCTTTTCAGTGGTACCCAGTGACAGGACAGGGGGCAATGGGCACAAACTGTAACACAGAAAGTTCCATACAAATACGAGAAAAAATGTCTTTACTTAGAGGGTGATTGAGCACTGCGACAGACTGCCCAGAGAGGTTGTGAAATCTCTTTCTCTGGAGATATTCAAAACCTACCTGGATGCTTTCCTGTGAAGACCACTGTAGGGAACCTGCTTTAGCAGGGGGTTGGACTGGATGATCTCCAAAGGTCCATTCCAGCTCCTATCATTCTGTGATTATACGAAACAAATCATTTCATTGCAGGAAAAATGTTGAACAGGAGAAGTGGTAAAGCTTTGGAGTATGAGCAAAACTGTTAGGCAGCCATAATACTGTAAACTAAGGGTTAAAAAATGGAAAACGTGCCAAAGCAAAGCCAGAGATACAAGACCACAGAATCCATTCAGGTTTCAGAAGGGATAACTCCAACCATGCCTTGAAGGTAGTCAGGCAAAGTATGGTTTTTCCATTAGCTCAACTTGTGCAATTAAGCTTGTTCAGAGTTACATACTTCTGCACAGTTCTGGCCACAGAAGTCATTTCTTCATGCTCAGACCTGTTTGCAGGAGGTGAAACTGAGCTGGGACACTGGAGCTGCAGAGAAACTCCTAATGAAGCAAAACCGCATGAGGTTGTTCTTTGCAGGGGGTGGACGGCTGGATTAGGCAGTATATTAAGTAATCCCTTGGGATATTTTTCAACTGTAATTCACGTTCAATCAACAAATATGGAATAGATTAACTGTAGGAGGGGTCATATATTTCTTGTAAGTCACAATCTTCTTTTATTCGTGACTATCTACAGTACAATATTTTTGAAGCACTGTTTTTTTTGTGGTTGATTTTAATGCTGTCCTACCCACGGCAGTTTTAACTGCCGGTTTGATTTTCTGATGAATTTATTTCCAACAGTACTGTTTAAAAATGAATGCAGAAAATGAAGGGATTAAAAGGGGTAATGTTGAAACGATCTTTATTTCTGGGAGACTGGGATATATGTAAACACAGCTTTTTAAACCAGGATCTTATTATTAGCTCTGGAAATCCATATATAGGTGCTTGATGTTTGGCTTGATTTAAGTATATAGCTGCTCCCTCCGATTGCACAAGATCAAGAGATGTTCAGAATCCCAGACTCTGATTCTGGTGGGTAGGACAGTTGCTTTAAAGCACAGCCTATATGCCATTTTCTTCAGGTTCAGTCCCACACAGTATAGTCCCCTTAAATTCTGAGTCCTGCAAAGGAAAGTGTACATTTTATTCTTCCAGTTAACCTTCCAGCATAGGCTGTCCTGTGATGCAAAGAGAAGCTTGAAACCATGTCAGAAAGTCTTCTCCTCAATGCATTTCTGGTAAAATCAAATTCCTGAATACTCATTTCTGAACCTAGAGTATCTGGAACTTGTACTTTTTTATTAGACCAAATGTTTCAAAGGTTTTGCATTATAAAGATAAGACTTGAGAGGATTTTCAGTTCCTAATCCAAGACTTACAGTCCCTTGTCTCTCCAGCTGAGCTGCTCCTTCACATGGGAAGTACCTGCCTGCCACACATGGAAATTTCCTGTGTGTAGCAGTAACACTCCTGAGAATGTCCAGCATTGTCCTGAGCTGAACTGCTTGTGCCTTGCTGCTGCCTAAACCAAGTGCACAAAGCAGCTCCAGCAGCTCTGCTTGCAGCTCATCAGAGACAAAGCTGCAGGGAAGGGATATTTGATAAATACAGCAATGGTCACAGGCTTTGAAAGAGGGGTGGCCTGAAAGCCTCTTACTCATGTATCCCCACATGAACCATCCGGTTCCTGGTCATTAATTCTAAACAAGCTTCGTCCAAACTGAGCCCTGCTGCTCCCAGTGACATCTAGAGATGGCAGCGCCTGAGTTTGTTTTTACAGCATGAGAGAACTGGCTAAGATTTATTTTAATGGAGTGTGACTCAGATAAGTAGATAGCTGTGGTACCAACAATGTGGTGTTAAACAGGGGTGAGTATCTACTAAAATATTTTCAGATTTCAATTAATAGACTGGGGAATGTTAAATCATGCTAGTACCCACTAACAGTGCTGGAGGGGAGGTTTGTGATTGCCTCCAAATGTTGATAAGACACAAAAACATAATAATAATAAAAAAGATTAAAGTCAGATGGGGATCTGGGAATCTAAGGAAAAAATTGTCAGTGATACAAAAAGCTGCACAATAGATTCTAAGGGAAACAAGGGGAATCCTCTTTTAAATGGAATTCAAACAAACATCAGGGAGTAGGATGCTGGGAACAGCCTGCTATGAGGTGGGAAGACCTTGTATCGGTTTGTTAATTTGTTTCTTCTCCCATACTTTGCTTGCTCCTTTGCATTGTAGGATGCTTCTAGACCTTGCAAAATAATCAGTCAAAAAAGCAAATGTTTGCACGTAGCACTCATAGAACTCTGCAATTACTGGATGTGACATGCAAAGATACTGACACTGCATTTTAGGATTTCTAAAACACTTGAAATCTGTCTGCCTTCATGGTCTCTGTGTATTGCAACCTTCACGTGGTGACAGTGTCTGATCAACAGCAGCCCTGTTCTGTGTGTGGCACAGGACCTGCCATCTTTCCAGCAGCTGCTTGTAGCATTCATTTTATCCTCCTTCTCGTGTGAACACCTCAAAGGACCAATGGTGAAAGAAGGGGCTTTAAGAATCATAGAATCATAGAATGACCTGGGTTGAAAAGGACCACAGTGATCATCTGGTTTCAAACCCCCTGCTGTGTGCAGGGTTGCCAACCACCAGACCCAGTGCCACATCCAGCCTGGCCTTGAATGCCTCCAGGGATGGGGCATCCACAGCCTCCTTGGGCAACCTGTTCCAGTGCATCACCACCCTGTGTGAAAAACTTCCTCCTAATATCTAACCTAAACTTCCCTTGTCTCACTTTAAAAAAGAAGTAGGGAGGATGGTATGGAGGGTTGTGGAGAGAGTTCACAGAGGGATTAGGTTTAGTTTTGGGGATCTATAGAGTGAACAAGCACACAGTTTTTATGGGCAAGATGTGGGCAACTTAATCTGAAGCTTTGCTGGAAGTGGGTGACCCACTCCTGGTTTCAGCTGTGCATCTTTTGTAAGTCCTTTCCATTGACATAAACCTGCAGTGCACCCCAGGCTGTAAGGGGCCCAAAGCCAACCAGAAAAGCTGACCTCCAGAGAGCTCTGTGGTTAAGTGTGAGCAAGTTGCACACAGTGCTGAGCATGCACAAAGATCTCTACAAGATTTATGACTTGACCACATCCAGCTGGAATTTGGTAGGGATGGATGAACGTATTCACTTTAAAAAGGCCATTCTTCCCTGATCCCCCATATCCAATCTCTTGCTTCGAAGGTATATAATCCTGTGATTTGTTCATGGAAAGAACAGAGAAATGTGTATAATGTCAGTACAGCGAAGTATTCACCCTTTGTTTTATTCAGAAAAAATGGTTGGCATATTTTGACTCAACTTAAAAATAAGTTTAAAAAATCCACAATGTTTCCAGCACAAAAATGGCCAGTGAAAAGTAATAAAGTAAAACAGCCATTCTGTCAGAGCAGTAGACAGCAAAAATCAAGATCTTAGAATGGAAAATGTTATTTAGCTGTCTAATGAAATAAAGAAGCCCTCCAAGGGAGCTGCCTTTGAGTGGCTACAGCTGCTGTGTTTGCAGCATCCCCATGTCATGGTGACAAACTCCTTCATCCCTCTATCTCCAGCACAGCTACAGCAATATCTAGATTTTACATGTGCTAAATACTGACAGCTTCCACTTTGTGTCCTATCAAGTAAGAAACGTCAAAAACTCTTTAAAAATGACTTTAAATTTATAATACAGGAATTCGTTTTCAACAAAAGTATCCTACAGATCTATGGAAAAAATGAAAGAATGTTCTTATCTGGATGCACACATTTAAAACTCAGCTGGCCTGAGTTTGGAAGTGGCTCAGGGCACCAGATTGGAAGTTAGGGCTCTCTGGATTTGTACTTAAATTCCTAAATGCAGATAAAAGCAGTCCAGCTAGCAAATTCTGGTGAAAGACTTTGAAAGTGAAGAAAATAACCCTATCCATTACTGAATAGCACTATTAAATGATTAGAAAGGGCTCGACACCACCTTGTTATCTGCACATGACCTCTCCTGAGGCATTCGTGGCCAAAAAAAAAAAAAAAAAAAAAAAAAAAAGAACAGATTAGGCAAGAGCATCACTCCGCTGCATTTGAAAGCGGATCTTCAGGACAGGGACGCTTTCCATAGAGTCATTTCAGGCAAAGGTCACATGTGTGCATATAAAATCAATCCTGAAAGCAGTGCCTTTGTCCCCAAGCTCTGTCCCAATGGAGCCATTGTCCTGCGGGGCAGCTGGCACCCTGACTCCAGCTCCCAGCCCAAGGCGGCCGGGCAGCTCCCAGCAGCCGGCCCGGGGCCAGGGCAGCCGCTGCAGGGGCCGGGGAGAAGCGAAGTTTCTGCGTCAAACCTCAGCCATGGAGAAAAAAGACCCGCTGGTACGGTAGGCACATCCTCCCTCCCCTTCTGCCCCGTGTTTTTCTGCCTTGTGGCAGTAGGCTGAAGTAAATATAATTACAAGCAAAGTCAGGCTGTGAAGCGGCGTGAGTGTATTTCTGCCAAGCGCAGCTCGGACTGGGACTTGGCAAGCTGAGCGTCCTTTCGATGTGCATTTAGGGGTGATGATGGGAGTCCTCCGAGTCATAATTAAAGTAGAACACGTTATTTAATGCACAGAGCAGTAAGGATATTTAAAAAATCACAGTAGATCTCTTACAGCTTGTTCTGCTTTATGTAGATATCCTTCCCTCTTAACCTTTTAAATTTAAACTGCCTTTCTTATCTTATTACCCTATGGCAGCGTTAAAATTGGCATCCAGTACAGACACAAGCAAAGAAATGTCTGTTTTGTTTGTACTGACCTCCTGCAATATTAACGTCACGTCAAGAAGTGATGATGAGTTCAGCTCCACATCACCTGGCATTTGATTTGTATAAAATCTTCACCATCTGTTGGGTGTAAAGGCAATCTGTTTTAAATAAGGTTCCCATTACAAGCACCTCTACCTAATCCTTGTTTTCCTGAAAGAAATGGATAAAGTTTCTTTAATCACTGCAGTATTACAATATTTGTGTTTGTTTTTCCTAACTCCCCCTGCCAAAGATGCAGAGTGCTGATTAGAGGTGTAAGTCGATAAGGAGTTAACAAAGCCATGCATACCTTGCAGTGCTCAGCATGGTCGGAATTAAAATGATTTTTTAAAAGTTTGATTCTGAAGTAATCATCATTGGTTCCCTTTTCTGAGTCTCTTTGGCTTCTGATTTGCTTAGATTTTAATTGTGATTTCCTGCAATTACTTCTGTCTCTGCAAGCTTCCTTTCAGTGTCCATCAGCACTGAGGGTGCTGGGTAGATAGCTGGAGCTCTGTATAACTAAAAGAAAACAAAAGAGCCTGACTGTGCTCTGAGCTGCCTATGAGTGACCTGCTGATCTTTTAGGGATTATTATGGACATTTTTATATTAAGAAGGAGCTTCTTTTGAAGTGCATAGCTGTAGAAATGCTTCCTCCCAGCAGGTTGATCTGCATAGCGTGTTAAGAAAATAAAACTACTCCATTTTGTATGCTACAGAATTTTGCCTCACTTTAGAGCATGTAGTACAGTGCTTAAACTATGAGTTTATGTCACTGCTGTCACTGCAGCAGAGGTTTGCAATTACTCCTAAAGGATGCTAGCTGAGCTCGAATGCCAGACAGATAAAGATAGGTTAGTGTCATTCTTGAAAGCTGTAACTGTTAGCAGCAATGCTCACGTAGCATCCTTAGCCCGAGTGCTACTTGTAATCCTTCCCACATCAAACTGAAGTGGAGGTACTGAGTGGTTCTGAGGGAACAATGACAGGTGGTGGCATGAGACCACTCCTGGCAGTGCTGGAGCTAGCACCACCTTGTCTGAATTTCCATTTTGAGTGCTCCTTCATGTTGCTTCACCAAATTAACAACCACAATGTGACTGTGTTCACAGGATGTCAGATCTCACAGGCTTTCACTGTCTCAAAATCCATGAAACCGTGTGTGCTCCACTCACTTTGAGTAATGGATGACAGGGTCACTGTCACTTCAGTACACAAGGAAGTATAAACACATAATTACATGTGGTTCCTGTTGGCATTGGAGAATGACTTTGCTCTTCTGTACTGTTTGAATTCCAACAGGAAGATCCATAGTCAGCAGTCTTTTGTCCTAGCAGCCTTCATATTTCAAGACACTGATTTTCTTCCAGAAATGAAAAAGTCCTTAGAAGTTTCAGTTGCTGAATATACAGGAATAATTCAGTTCAGAACATGAATAACTGGATGAAAGATTTAAAATGTAGCAAGTATGCTTAGCTCCTGTGTTCTGTTTCTGAACTAAATAGAGCTATTCTACTGCAGATGGATCTTCCTCACTTATGCAACTGGAGAGAAATTGTGTTGCCTCTTCAATACAATTCCTGTCTAGTTCAGTCTCTTTCCATTTCTGTAGCAAACTTTATGCCTTCCTTCCACTCTTTCTATTGTGAAGTACTTCAGAAATCTGCAGGATTTCTCCTTTGTTTATCTAATTTCAAACTATTGTGTGAAGATTTTTTAAGAGGAAGCTGTGGTGGGTTGGCTTGGCTTGGCTGTCTGCCCGGGACCCACCAGGCTGCTGTATCTCTCATTCCTCAAGAGAACAGGGGAAGAAAATAGGGTGGAAAAGCCTGCGGGTTGAGGTAAGGACAGGGTGGGTGAATGTACACCAGTGTGAGTTTCTTCCATGGGCTGCAGGGAAACCCTGCTCCAGTGCCCCCATTCCTTCTTCCTTCACTGACTTTGGCCCTGCAGCACCCCTGCTACCAAACCCTGGCACAGACACGCAGTAAAGATTTTAACCCTCTCATTTTGGAGGCCACCTCTGGCTTTGCTATCAAGCAACTCTTTGCTGGTTTTCACTTTTTAATTTAATTTAATTTTTTTTTTCCTAGAGGGTTGCTCATCCTTTAACATAACCTTACTTTATACTCCCACGTCATCTGGTAGAAACCTGCACACTACTGGCAGAACATGGCCAGAGCTATTCCTGCCATTCTTCTGCAGAAACCCTCCCTCCTGCAGCAGTTACATCCCCTCTCCATTACTGCAATTTCCTGTTTTATTCTCTTTGCGTCTCTTTATAGAAATCAAGAGACTGCTGCTGGTTCTTTAACAGTACCTTCATCTGAGGCCCTTCTTCTCATCTCTCTAATGCTCGAAGAACTCAGGATATATAAACTATCCTGGATAAAAACACTTTTTGCATGCAGGCTTTTTGACCTAATAACAGTTTCTGGTCTTTATATTGGCACCTGCCAAAATCAGACAGATGTAGGACAAGGCCAGGGCACACTTCCTACACTGCTGGGCTGTGCTGCTTGCACTTTGTCCAGAGGTAGCCCATGGAGAGGTTGTTTACACACAAGCTCACCCACCAGCTCATTCTTTTGCCAATCACTCCAGGTTTTCCAGAGAGCCCAGTGCAAATCTGGGACAGGATCTGCTTCCCTGGGCACTTTGCATGCAGCATAACAAAGCAGATGGGAGGAATATGGCCTATGGACACCCCATCCCATCCCTATGTATTCACTGACTAAATTCCAACAGCTCATCTCTGCCAGGATTGCTCTAAACTGCCCAATTTACGTGTAAGTCCTCAAGGCAAGAAAAGGCAGGAAAAATTAGCAATGCTGACAAATAAAACGGCAAAGAGCTTAAGATAATTTAAAAGTAGAATTTAATATCTGCAGAATAGCTGCTTACACGTGCTGTATATTTTTCCCTGGGAAAAACTGTTTCAGTTGTACTGGCTACGTGTGCCTGATGGATGTGACACTGATGAACGCAATATCTTGAAAATGCTTTACGGGATGAAGAGAAAGAATTCTGATGAAACAGTGCACTGCAAATAACTAAGCTTGAATCATCTGTAAGTTCTTGTTTTGCTTTCTTTACAAACTGCTACCAACAGAGCTAAGGTGGCAGTGAAGACAACAGATGAACTCAGGACAAGGTTGTGCTTAGGGTAGGGCAGAGGAAAGGGATCACTGCTATGAAGTTGGGCGAAATTCCTTTGGAGCTGATAGCCCTTCATTCAGCATAAATGTAAGAAGTCCTTAAGTGCCTTTTAGATATCCAAAACAATAGGATTCCTTTCTGTGCTCAGGGAAACTGCATTTTTTTGGACATTCTTTGTAAACGACAGGATTGTACCAAAGAATTTCTTGATGCCACAATCTAAGACCTCTATTAAAGGAAACATGTCCAAAAGGATTAATTATTCAGGTCACCTGTGCTTCCCCAAATAAATTCAATTCACCTACATAAGCTCTAATTTTGTTATGTCCTTCAGCCTATATTGGACATATAGGACTCCCCTGCAGTCCCTCAAAACAGGAAACAAAAAGGAAATATTTCCTCTTTTGGAGTCTCCAAAGATCTGTCCTCCTAACATACTGTCTCTTTTCACCCCCAAATTCAAGGTTAACTTTTCTGCCCTTGCATCACATAGGTTGGAAAGTAAATGTTCTTTAAGGTCCTTCCAACCCAAACCACTCTGATTCTATAATTCTCTGCCAGCCAGCCTAGCATTTCCTCAGGGATGCTGGAATACAGCTCTGACTGTAGTAGGACATTGGGTGCCTCCAGATATTGCTGGCAGCATTAAGTCTAGCTTGTTTGCTGAAGCTGCTGCCTCTCCAAAGACCTCCCACACCTCTGCTCTATGCCCTCTGTTCTTACTATGTAACAAGCAGTTTTCCTTGTTCAATTTTTTTTGCCTTATATCTTCTGAAATCATCTATACAATCAAGCAGATGTTTCAGCAGGCTCAGATTGCCTACAAACAGGGCTATGAACATGGGGTTTGGTCTGATACTCATTTGCAGAACAGCTGTTGTGACTTAAGCTACTATAGAGGAAGCATGTACGTGCTCCTGCTCTTGTCATAACGCAAAGGGATCCAGGTTTGCTCCAGGGATAGGGATCCACCTTTTATGACTTCACCTAAAGGTATTTCTGCTCCCTATCAAGTTCCACTGCTCATCCCTGCTCCTTTACCCAAGATCTGTTTATTTGTTTTTCATTTTATATGTAAGGTGATTTTATCATAGAATTCCTCAATACCAAGTTGGAGGGAAGATTAGCTGAGCAGTGAAACTCCTTTGGTTGTTGCAGTGCAGTGCAGAGGGGACAGGGAGAGACAACTGGAGTGGGCGACTCTTCACCTGAAAGGGATAAATGTTGAGCTTGCAGATGTCAGCAAGGGCAGCAGGCCTTTCCTTCAGCTGCCAAAGATGGGAAAAAAAGCTGAAAAAGCTGGAAAAATAGCTCTTCACCAGAGCTCTATTTTACTCAAGTCCATTTTACATTGCATTAGAACAGGCACTGCTTTCAAGGGTGTTACGTTGCAGCATCTTGGAGAAGGGGCAGCAATGAACAGAAGAAAGAA